CTCCATCTACCTCTTAATATGTTGACACCAAAAAAAAAACAAAAAAAAAAAAAAAAAAAAAAAACAACAAAAAAACCTTCAAAGTGAATGAATACATATTGCTTTGTTAAATACATATTTGACTTATATGGTGTTTGTATAAATATATATATATTTTAGAATCCACAAACTATCAAAATAACACTTTATAAAGAGAACTGCTTCCAAAAACATGGTAACGCCTAGCTGGAACAAGAGGGCAGTGGTGTAGCAGCTGCTGAGGGTCACTGCTTAAGTGCACATGACAGATACTTGTGCTCACATCACCTGCTGAACTGTGGAAAGAAAGTTTCCAAAGAGTTCTCTTAAACATTTACAAAATACACAACTCTGGGACAAACAGTACAGTTAGTAACATCAGGTTTTGAAAACTCTGATTTAAAAATACTTTTTAAAATGAAATACCAGTCCAAAAAAATATCCATTTTCCTGGTCCACTGGTATGGAAAGTGACCACTGAACTTCCTCCAGCATCTTCTTCAGCCCTGCTGTGTTTAATCACAGCTCTCTAGGGGGTTGCTTTTGGAGGGGCTATGGCAAAGGCCCACACACCTGTGCAACTTAATGAGCCCAGTCATTTAATATCAGCAATTCACATTTTTAGGCGAAATCCTTTCCCAGGATGCAAAGGTCAAAAGTTGCAGCTATGGGAGGAAAAGGATGAGAAAAACCACATAAGAAAGGATCCAGCTCTGTAAACAGGAAAGAGATATGGGAAAGAATTCAGAAGAAGTGGCAGAAAGTAAGCTGGCGATACAAGATGGGCCATCTCATTCACAAAGAACAGGCGAGAAGCAGACTGCCAGCACGTCACTGGGCGACAGTCTTGAATACAATGTAGAGACGCATGATTCTAAAGCACTTCGGGACAATTTGCTGATGACACCCGTCTCATTTGTCACTGACAGAAGACTCTCCACTGGAAGTTCCTCTAGCAACCTGAGATACTTTCTGTGTACAAGAATACTTCAAAAGGTTCATGGAAAAATGGAATTAAATGATAACACGAATCTTTTTCATGAACTTTTGGAAGCTGCTGCGTGTATAAGGATCCAGGTGATTTCATGAACCTGCCTGGCTGTCAGCGGCCCTGCCTCTCTCTTTGATGCTCCACAGGTGGCCCTTCTGACTCCATTCTTTACTTCTCTTTGTATCTTACCTATGGGACACAGATTTGAACCTGTCACCTTTTTCCTTCCATAGTCATGCATTGCTTAACAACAGGGATAGGTTCTGAGAAACGTGCCGTTGTGTGAACATCATAGATTGTATCTACACAAACCTAGATGGCATAGCCTGCTACCCACCTAGGCTATTTGGGATGGCCATTGTAATTTTATGGGACCACTGTCCTGTATGTGGTCTGTCATTGACTGAAATGTCGTTATACGGCGCTTGCCTGTATTTGTGGTTTAATCTATGATATCCAGGGGTGTGGCGACATTTCTCAGCTTTAATTTTCATGCTTTCCTATTGCAGTTACCATCCCAGTACCACTGATACAGGCAGGTGTTTGGCACTTGCCAGTTTTCAAAGAGCTTCTGCTTGATCCTTGCCAAGAATTCTGCTTTTGGTGTAGGCAGAATAGCTAGTATCCTCTCCTTTTTAAAAGAAATCAAGGTGGGAAAGTTCAGTGCCTGCCCAATATCACACAGGCATGGTGGTGGGACCAGGAGCAACTTACAGGCCCCCGGCCCTGTGCAGTTCCAGGGTGAGCGCATGGTAAGTTATGAAGTTCAGGGTCAATGTGCTGTTATCGGATATGTTAAACAGACTAAATGGGAGGGGGGAGGGTGGTAACAACTCATAGTAGGTCTGTAGAATATGTTCAAAACCATGGATTTGGTATTTTAAGAACATATGGGATTGTGAGGAGTTTTCTAACATGTTTATGTTTTCTAGATGCTTTATACATTCAATTTTTTTCTTTCTTTTTTTTTTTAAAGGCCCTAAGATCCTGAAGTTGAAATGTAGACAGAGTGGAAGGGTAAAGAGCTTCCATGGAGGGGCTGGCTGGTTATCTCAGTTGGTTAGAGTGAGGTGTTATAACACCAAAGTCAAGGGCTTGGGTCCCCGTACCAGCCAGCTGTCAAAAAACCCAACAAAAATAAAAAAAGAGAAAAGAGCTTCCATTGAATGATGACTTGCAAAAATACGTCTTCGATATAGCACTTAAAACTAATTTTATGGGTCAAGTATCTGTCTATGTAGCCTTATGACCTTGTATAAAATCTTGCCCTAAACTAAATTCAAAGTTATCACAGTTGATATTTAATGGCAAAATATTGATACTAGGTTAACATTTCCAAAAAATTTTTTTTCCAGAAAGGAACATCCTTGGAATTCAATGTGAATCAATTAACTGTGTGTTTATTCTGCAGCTTTTATTTTGAAGTCCTATATCACAAAATGACATGTGTAATGTCTACCACAGATATTAGAAATTGAGATGTTTTTATTTCTACTAGTTGAGAGTAAAATTGTAGATAATGTTCCAAACCATCATCAAAAATGCAAAGCCAACTTTTCTGTATATAAACTGTACATAAAAACAAGGCACTATACATTTTTGGGGGAGATATTAAGGTAGAAAGGTTGATTTGCAAAGATTCTTCAGAGTCCATGCCATTAAGTAGAAATTCTTTGTTCACTGTAGCACCGGAAGCAGTACTCAGAACAGGTCATACCTAACGCTGAAGGAAACGTTTCTGAATGTGTATGAAGGTACATACCGGTGACAGAAGCAGCTCCATCTACCTCTTAATATGTTGACACCAAAAAAAAAAAAAAAAAAAAAAAAAAAAAAAAAAAAAAA